GCAGTCAACTGCTGCTTACCATCCCCCAGAATGCTTCAGGGATCTCAATATCAATGGCAGCCAATCAGATGGTGATATGTCAGGATAAAAAAAATGAAAAACATATGTTACTGGTGGCTGCAAGATGGGAAATCGGAAAATACTGGAAATTACTGGAAGGATTTAACATTAGAGCAGTGTTTCTCAACCTGGGAGTCAGGATCCCTGGGGGGATAGTATTTATTTATTTATCGTGTCAGTAGCAACCAGACAATTGTATTACATTTTTTACAAATTTTTAACAAACAGACAAAACAGAGTTTGCAAGCTTAGTAGTTGATTAAATGTCCTTTGACCAGTATCTGGCCACTTGGAGTGCTTCTTGTGTTGCCGCAAGGAGATCCTCCATCATGCATGTGGCAGGGCTCAGGTTGCATTGCAGCAGGTGGTCAGTGGTTTGCTCTTCTCCACACTCGCATGTTGTGGATTCCACTTTGTAGCCCCATTTCTTGAGGTTGGCTCTGCATCTTGTGGTGCCAGAGTTCAGTGCCTTCCAAGTTGCCCAGTCTTCTGTAAGCCCAGGGGGGAATTTCTCATTTGGTATCAGCCATTGGCTGAGGTTCTGGGTTTTAGCCTGCCACTTTTGGACTCTTGCTTGCTGAGGTGTTCTACCGAGTGTCTCTGTAGATCTTAGAAAACTATTTCTTGATATAATACATTGACGTGCTGGTTGATACCCAAACAAGGGATGAGCTGGAGATGTCTCCGCCTTTGTCCTTTCACTATTGGCTGCTGCTAGTAAGAAGGTGTCAGAGGGGTCGCCAAAGACCATCAGAAAACACAGTATTTTCTGTTGGTCATGGGGGTTCTATGTGAGAAGTTTGGCCCAATTTTATCACTGGTGGAGTTCAGAATGCTCTTTGATTGTAGGTGAACTATAAATCCCTGCAACTACAATTCCCAAATGTCATGGTCTATTTTTCCCAAACTCCACCAGTGTTCACATTTGGGTATATTGAGTATTCGTGCCAAGTTTGGTCCAGATCCATCATTGTTTGAGTCCACAGTGCTCTCTGGGTGTAAGTGACCTACAACTCCCATAGTCAAGGACAATGTCCACAAAACACTTCCAGTATTTTCTGTTGGTCATAGGAGTCCTGTTTGCCAAGTTTGGTTCAATTCCATCGTTGGTGGAATTCAGAATGCTCTTTGATTGTAGGTGAACTGTAAATCCCTGCAACTATATCTCCCAAATGTCATGGTCTATTTTTCCCAAACTCCACCAGTGTTTACATTTGGGCATATTGAGTATTTGTGCCAAGTTTGGTCCAGATCAATCATGCTCTTTGATTGTAGGTGAACAATAAATCCCAGCAACTACAACTCCCAAATGTCATGGTCTATTTTTCCCAAACTCCACCAGTGTTCACATTTGGGCATATTGGATATTTGTGCCAAGTTTGGTCCAGATCCATCATGCTCTTTGATTGTAGGTAAACTAAATCCCAGGACTACAACTCCCAAATGTCATGGTCTATTTTTCCCAAACTCCACCAGTGTTCACATTTGGGCATATTGAGTATTTGTGCAAAGTTTGGTCCAGATTAATCATGCTCTTTGATTGTAGGTGAAGTATAAATCCCAGCAACTACAACTCCCAAATGACAAAACCAATCCTCCCAACAGGATTCAAATTTGGGCGTATCGGGTATTTCTGCCAAATGTGAGCCAGTGAATGAAAATACATCCTGCATATCAGATATTTACCTTACGATTGACAACAGTAGCATAATAACAGCTATGAAATAGCAACGAAAATAATTTTATGATTGGGGGGTCACCACAACCTGAGGAACCGCATTAAGGGGTCGCAGCATTAGGAAAGTTGAGAACCACTGCATTAGAGGATGGATGAACAGAGCCTGGAAAGTTACACTGACAGAAAACCTTACCAGAAATCTGCAAGAAACATAAGGAATGAATATCACACAGGACTTTGTGGCAATTTGGTACCGCTTTCATATTTTCCCCATCAAACTTGAAATAGCTCACATTCCCTTGAGATACATTATGATTGTTTTTCTTAATATGTTTGCAGTGCTATAATGAACCGTTTGTAAACAATGAATTTATAACTACTATATTTGTCATTCTTACAAAATTAAAAGTCAAAAAGATTGTTTAAAAAATGAAAACACATTTACAAAACTTCCGGGAACTCTATCTGTATAAGTCTTTCTAGGAGTTATTATTAAACGATTGGGAGGATGCAGGCCCAAGCGCTATAGCTCATGCAAACCACTTTTGAGAATAGCTAGATCAGGCATGGGTAAACTTTGGTCCTCCAGGTGTTTTGGACTACAACTCCCACAATTCCTAACAGCCTACCGGCTGTTAGGAATTGTGGGAGTTGGAGTCCAAAACACCTGGAGGACCAAAGTTTGCCCATGACTGAGCTATATTATACATCTATATAAATAAAAATGTAATGTTCGTTTGTGCGATTAATATAACTCAAAAACCACTAGGCGAATTGACACCAAATTTGGACACAATACACCTTCCAGGCCAACGAGTGACCATCACTCATAAAACACTGAAAAACACAGCAGAAGAGACTTTAAAAGCCAAAAAATTTAAAAATAAATTACAATGCATGCACAAAACAACATATTTACACATATACACAAATATATACACACACAAAATACATATACACAGACTGGACCACAGCAACGCATGGCAGGGGACAGCTAGTATAAATAAAAAATAATAATGTTCATTTGTGGAATTAACATAACTTGAAAACGACTGGATGAATTGACACCAAATTTGGACACAATACACCTATCAGGTCAATGAGTGACCATCACTCATATAAACACTGAAAAACACAGCAGAAGATACTTTAAAAGCCACCCCCCCCAAAAAAAACCCCATTACAACGCATGTGCAAAACCACACATATATATACTAGGGCTGGGCAACCACGGAAAAATTTGTTTCTAAACTCGATTCATTTTTTGGGTTTTTTTGCGTTTCGATATTTAAAAGAATTCAGAAATTTTTCTTTAAAAAAGTTCGATATTTACGAAATTTCGTAAAATTACGAAACAATACGAATACGAAACAAATACGAATCGATTCGTTAATGGCGGACGCGACCGCGCAATACGCTAAAAAACCTCCAAATGGACGGGGGAACTTCTGAAGCTTCCCTCTCCCTCTGTTGTTGACTGTTGGTGTGATATTTATAATTTTTTTTCACTGATTAAACAAACAACAGCTATAAAACTTGCCCCAGACATGCGGAAATAATAACGAAACGATTTCGAAACGAATACGAAACGAATACGAAGCAATTACGAAACGAATTGAAAAATTCGTTTCGTTTTTTAGATGCTCCTGAATGGTTCAAAATCGCTTCGTTATAAAAAAACGAATTTTTAACGAATTACGAAATTACGAAACGAAACCGCCCAGCCCTAATATATACGCAAACACACATATACACAAATATATACACACACACATATAGACACACACAAGAAGCACATATTCACAGACTGGGCCACAGCAATGCATGGCAGGGGACAGCTAGTTCTTTTTAGAGTAGCACTGGATGAATTATTTAGGGCTCGTCTATACCAGGCGTCTCTGCCTGAGGAATGTAGACATGACCCTGAGTACAAAGGTGTATATGTAAAATAGTTCTAAAATCAAACATTTACTGATAATAAATCAGTATTTGCAAGGCTTGCTAAACAGGCTGGGTTCCCTTTTTATTGAGTCTACTGTAAACACTGCATGATGTTGTTAACAGATTCGTGCAAATGTCTGAAAAACCCACACCGTTCACTGTTGTCCATTTTTGTGATCCCAGCATTGAGCTAAGAGGATCCCATTTTGGGTCAGTACCCACAGTTTAAGAAGCAGTGGTTTGCACCACCAACATGCCACACACACACACTTTCCAAAGCCAGGGGGCAAAGGCAAGTGCTCATTCTTACTCTAGAGGAGGTGCTCAGCAGCAGGCAGGCTCACACACTTTCTGGGCCTGCATGCCACACAAACACACACAGACTCCCTCTCTTTCCAAGGCCAGGGGGCAAAGGGAAGTGCTCATTCTTACTCTAGAGGAGATGCTCGGCAGCAGGCGGGCACACACACTTTCTGGGCCTGCATGCCACACAAACACACACAGACTCTCTTTCCAAGGCAAGGAGGCAAAGGCAAGTGCTCATTCTTACTCTAGAGGAGGTGCCCAACAGCAGTCAGGCATGCACACTTTCTGGATTTGCATGCCACACACACAGTCTCTTTCTTTCCAAGGCAGGAAGGCATGGAGCACCACGTGTTCATGAAAAGCAGGCAAGGAGCTGGGATCGGCTCCCACTTGCTTTCGTGTCGAGCTGATTTTCGTACTGGGAAGGGGGTTTCCCGTTACGTACTCCCAAAGGTAACGAAAGCAATGAAAGAACAGAGGAAACTATGGAAAATGGTTCTGCGCACAACTCTACTGGGCAATTCGTTTTGAGCAAGCAACATCTCCTGCGTGGCTCTCCCAGGAAGAAGCCATTTGGCCAGAAAGACAATAGGTACTCCATTCATCAAGCACTATGATTGGTTAACTAAGCTACCAACCCATCTTCATGCCATTCCTCTTGTACAAAACAGCTTCCATTTTTGCAGACTAACTGGAGAAACTTGATTTTTGCTACTGTTATTAAACAATTCTGTTCAGAAAAACCACCTGCTAGCCTTTTATAGTTTTCCTTTTACATGCACTCAACATGAAACACATTTCTGAAGACTAACTCTATTTTTTGGAGCAAAGAAATTGGATCTTTGCAGCTTAATTTCTGGAGTTCACACTTTAGGGAGCTCACAATGGTTGAGCCCTGCAATGAGGCACACTGTCTCCGTCTGCCACGAAGAAACACTTCTTCTTCCACATGTCTTTCCTTTCTTTTTCCCTGAAAATGCAGAATGACATCTGGAACGCATATCCTTGATCTTACCACTGGTCCTTCAATGGCTGGTGCTGATGAGCCTCATACAGACTGGCCTCAGCTCAGGTAGATGATCCTGCCAAAGAGAGTAAAAAAGAAGAATATTAATAAGGTTTGAAAATGTCAACATGCTGGGTGCTGTAGGGGAGAATAATCTAGTGATAGCTAGAGCAGGTTTAATGACAAAGTCGAAAAATTAGTAAAGCAACCCCCGTTGGGTTCATCACGTCAACTACGGAAACAACCTACTGATTTGACTGAGTGCATTGTGAATGGCGGCATTATACATTCATGACTGTAATCACAACCAACAACCAGCAAAGAACGACAGAGCGCGGCATGGTTAATTTTAATAAACAGCATTAAAAATAAATTAAAGGTCAATGTGGGGCGAGAGGGGACCCCAATGGCCAATCGGAGATTAATGAAGCGTACAGAAGAAAGTGCCAGCCCCTTAATTATAACCCCCAAGATGATTCCAAGTTCAGAGGAAATGCAGTTCCTCTCATGTCTCCTTCGGGAATCTTTCTCGCAGGATCAGAAAAATTGCAAGTCAAAGAGTTGACATTTGGTAGTTTGTTTGTTTTTTGACCAAGAAACTCACTTAACAGGAACAAACACATAATTCCATGTCATCTAAGGATGCTTAGTCTTCACAAGGCTATTTATTGGGGATTTTCCCCCCTACAATTATTCTATAGCAGTATTTCTCAACCTGGGGGTCGGGACATGAGGGGGTGTCAGAGGGGTACTTTCTGTTGGTCATGGGGGTTCTGTGCGGAAAGGTTGGCCCAATTCTATTATTGGTGGGGTTCAGAATGCTCTTTGATTGTAGGTGAACTATAAATCCCAGCAACTGTAACTCCCAAATGTTAAAGTCTATTTTCCCCAAACTCCACCAGTGTTCACATTTGGGCATATTAAGGATTCGTGCCAAGCTTGGTCCAGATCTATCACTGTTTGAGTCCATGGTGCTCTCTGGATGTAGGTGAACTACAACTCCAAAACTCAAGGACAATGCCCACCCAACACTTCTCATGTTTTCTGTTGGTCACAGGAGTCCTGTGTGCCAAGTGTTCATTCAGATTTGGGCATATTGAGTATTCGTGCCAAGTTTGTTCCAGATCCATTATTGTTTGAGTCCATGGTGCTCTCTGGATGTCGGTGAACTACAACTCCAAAACTCAAGGACAATGCCCACCAAACCCTTCTAGTGTTTTCTGTTGGTCATGGGAGTCCTGTGTGCCAAGTTTACATTCAGATTTGGGCATATTGAGTATTTGTGCCAAGTTTGTTCCAGATCCATCATTGTTTGAGTCCACAGTGCTGTCTGGATGTAGGTGAACTACAACTCCTAAACTCAAGGTCAATGCCCGCCAAACCCTTCTAGTGTTTTCTGTTGGTCATGGGAGTCCTGTGTGCCAAGTTTGGTTCAATTCCATCGTTGGTGGAGTTCAGAATGCTTTTTGATTGTAGGTGAACTATAAATCCCAGCAACTACAACTCCCAAATGACAAAATCAATTTTTTTAGTGATGGTCACTCCTTGGGTTAGTCTTGTGGCCCAATTTGTGGCAATCCATCCAGTGGATTTTGAGTTATGATGTCACTCAAAGTGAACAGAGCATATAGATAGATAGATAGATAGATAGATAGATAGATAGATAGATAGATAGATAGATAGATAGATAGATATTTTATCCTCTGTTCCAAAGTGGTATTAGTCATAGAGTCTTCATTTTCTGCTACGGCATTTCCTAAAGGAAAAAAGCATTGCACTACATGCCAGAATACTTTGAATAAAATGGTAAAGTGGGTGGCTTTCACCCCCTTCCCTCCCCATTTGCTTGCTTCACCCTGAATGGAGTCAATTAATGCATACCTCCAGAGATGTAGGAGTTGATTTGGATCACTAGCACAGTTAATTGTACCAGTGGGCCATTTTGCCATCTTGTGAGCATGAAGATGAACTCATCCACAAAATGGGGCCCTTGGGGAGGGCTCTCATTTCGGTGTCGTTCCCTAGCAATGCACCCGCCGACTGATAAAACCCGAGCCATGTTCCTCCTTGGTTCCTTAATTGCTGTTCATTGGGAGATGTTCACTATCTTGCCAGGTCCTGTAGAGATTTACACGCTCCTCTTCCATTTGCATGTGTATGTCATCCTGAGAGTGGCAGAGCACGTATTTAAAGCACTCCGGGCTTTAAATGTGTTTGACGGGATTCAAAGCAAGCCGGCGTTAAGCATAATTCATTGTGTACCGCCCTGCCTCTGGCCTTGCGCATGAAATTTTTAAGTTGCAGAATTCCCATCCCCTGTTCTACTCTTGTCATATCAAATTTTGAGAACATAATAATAATATCACTTTCATTTCATTTAGGTAGCTACATCAACAGTAATTTCTTTCAGAGCCTTCATAACTGAGTTGAAGGGGAATGTTTCAAACAAGCCCTCTCCAATTCAGAGTACGGATGCTCAGAATAGGGAAGTATCCCATGAGAGCAAGCTTCCCTGTAAGGTTTACTTTGAGTACAGTGTTCCCTCACTTACAATCATAGAATCAAAGAGTTGGAAGAGACCTCATGGGCCATCCAGTCCAACCCCATTCTGCCATGAAGCAGGAAAATTGCATTCAAAGCACCCCTGACAGATGGCCATCCAGCCTCTGTTTAAACTCTTCCAAAGAGGGAGCCTCCACCACACTCCGGGGCAGAGAGTTCCACTGCTGAACAGCTCTCACAGTCAGGAAGTTCTTCCTCATGTTCAGGTGGAATCTCCTTTCTTGTAGTTTGAAGCTGTTGTTCAATTGCATCCTAGTCTCCAGGGCAGCAGAAAACAAGCTTGCTCCCTCCTCCCTATGACAAGATGAATCCACAGCAGACAGTCTACTGGACCCTTTCCAAGTGTCTAGGATTGTGTGATGTATTGGAAAATACTGCGTGCAGATTCCAGTAAGGTGGCCTTCTGCAGCTGGCAGGTGGTAATTTTGTCAGCGCTGATTGTGTTTAAGTACAGGCCAAGGTCTTTAGGCACTGCACCCAGTGTGCCGATTACCACTGGGACCACCTTGACTGGCTTGTGCTAGAATCTTTGCAGTTCAACCTTTAAATCCTCATATTGTGTCAGCTTTTCCAGTTGTTTCTCCTCAATCCTGCTGTCACCTGGGATTGCAACATCGACAATCCATATTTTGTTTTTTAACACGATCGTGAGGTCAGAAGTATTGTGCTCCAAAACTCTGTCTGTCCGTTCAGAAGTCCCAGAGTAGTTTGACGTGTTCATTTTCTGTAACTTTTTCAGGCTTGTGATCCCACCAGTTCTTTGTCACAGGCCGATGGTCTTTGTGGCACAAGTTCCAATGAATCATCTGAGCAACGGTGTTGTGCCTCTGCTTCTAGTCTGTCTGCGTGATCTTCTTGCAGCAGCTGAGGATGTGATCTATTGTTTCATCTGCTTCCTTGCAGAGTCTACAATTGGGATCTGTCATCAACTTTTCAATTCTGGCTTTGATAGCATTGGTTTGAATGGCTTGTTCTTGGGCTGCCAGAATCAGCCCTCCGTCTCATTACTATTATTATTATTATTATTATTATTATTATTATTATTATTATTATGGCTTGTTGTTATGGCTTATTATTATTATTATATTAGAGATATAATATTATATGTTTATTATTATTATGACTGTTGCTATTGTTTTTATTGTTGTATTGTGGACTCGGCCTCATGTAAGGTGCACTGAGTCCCTTGGGGAGATGGTAGTGGGGTACAAATAAAGTTTCATTATTATTATTATTATTATTATTATTATTATTATATTTGAGATGGTCAAAAGCCCTTCCATCATCTTCAAATAGTTGTTGCTAGTTATTTACCTTCATTGTCGCTTCTCGTTCCTAACCAATTCGGGATCACTGAGTGATAAATTTGTACAGCTTCATAAGCAGTCAGCGTTGGCTATGTGTGTCATCACTAAGGACAAAGAAAAATACTCCTTTGAACCACTCTTCCCTGCATGTTAAATGGGCGCAGCCCATCCCATGTGAGAAACCGCTTTGGGGGGTTGTCCCTTTTTGGAGTATCTCTAGATCTTTGTGGGGAACAAAGCCAATAGCTTTGGACCCAGGCTTCCTATTAGTATTATTTTGGATTTGTCGTGGATCATATCAAACCTCAGGCTAAAGCAGATGAAAAATAGGCTTAATACCATTTTTTTATTTTTAAAAAAGCATAATGTGACTCATGCTGCATTTTTAATCACCATTCTAGGCTTTTTGGTGAAATTTGTCCAGGGCTACATGGGCTATTTTCCTAATATGCTTCTTTTTTTGACAATAATAAAATAGCCACGTTTTGTGCAGTGTGTCATGGAAATTTTCATTGCAAAATAAAGCGATCCTTCATGTGAAAGCTAATTACTGCATGCTCTCCATTTTAATGTAGCTTCCCTTGCCAAGTTCCCTAATGGAAGTTTTATTTTCATCCCCCCCCCCACTTTTTTCTTCTATTTTCATGTTAGTTCATATTTGACATATGGTTGCAATCCCAGGTCCCACTGAAGGGTTTCCCTTCCTCTTTTTTGGCAAAAGTCCCATGGAATTTTAAATTGGTTTGGATTGAGCCTTCAACCCCTTTGTGGCTCCCCACTCCCATGGCATCATGGCTTTCTTGTTTGGGACCCACTGAATAGGAACCACACAAGAGCACAGCAGTACTCTTGAATGGCTCCCATTCATTTGGATGGGGCATGCTCAAGAGAATGCCTTGGTGGCTTGTCTATGCCTGTCTCTTTTATTTAAACACCATTCCTTTGCTCTCTCTATATATTCAGGAGGAATGGGAGGATTTCTTCTGTTCTCTTCCTTTGGTTCATTTCGCCTTGGATTCCAATCAGATATGTTAATAGTGAACTCAGCTCTCCAGATGCCAAAATGGCATCAGCCACGTACAAGATGAAAATATTCGCTTAGCTGGCTGGGAGGAAGTCCAGCTTTTTAGAACTATAGAACGGTGGTTCTCAACCTTCCTAATGCTGCGACCCCTTCATGCAACTAAAATTATTTTAGTTGCGACTT